TACTGTATTCCAAGCCCTCCACTCCTCTAATGGGAAAGCTGATAAATTTTGTGAGCTCCTGACTGTTACTATATGAAATTTGGATGGTTTCTTTCTGGTTGCCTGCAATATTTTGCCTGTGACCTAATAGCTCCAGAAATTGGCTATAATATTCCTGGGAGTTTTAATTTTGGGATCTCTTTCAGGAAATGATCAGCAGATTCTTTAAATTCCTATTTTATCTGTTAGATTTGATATTAGGGCTGTTTTCCTTGATGGTTTCTTGAACTATGGTGCCTAGCCTTTTTTTAGATCATAGCTTTCAGGTAATCCAATAATTCTTAAATTATCTCTTCTTGATATATTTCCCAGGTCAGTTGTTTTTCCAATGAGATATTCACATTTTCTTCTATTTTTTTTCCTTTGACTTTGTTTGATTGTTTCTTGATGTCTTATGGAGTCATTAGCTTCTACTTGCCCAATTCTGCTTTTTAAGGAATTATTTTCTTCAGTGAGTTTTGTACCTCTTTTTCCATTTGACCAATTCTGCTTTTTAGGAAGTTCTTTTCTTTAGTGAATTTTTGTGCATCTTGTAATATTTAGCCAAGTTGATTTTTTTAAGGTATTGTTTTCCTCAATATCTTTTCGTGGCTCTTTTACTAAACTGTTAATTCTCTTTTCATAATTTTCTCGCATCACTGTCATTTCTCTTCCCAATTTTTCCTCTACCGCCTTTATCTCTTTCTTTAACTCTTTTAGGAATTCTTGTTAGACTTAAGCCAAATTTGCATTTTTATTTGAGGCTTTGCTTATATATGTTTTCATGTTGTTATATTCCTCTAAATTTGTGTCTTGATCTTTCCTGTCACCATAGTAGCTTTTTATGGTCAGGTTCTTTTATTGTTGTTGTTTGCACATTTTTTTCCAGCCTATTTCTTGACTTTAAACTTTATTGTAAAGTTGGACTCTGCTCACCTGAAGGTAGAGAGGCACTAACCCAAATTTCAGGTTTTTTCATGTTTTCAGAGCTAGCTTGGGATAGGGGGAGGCCTGTAAATTTTCACTTTTTCTAAGGTGGTATGATTTGGGGAGAACTGTGTTCATTGTTCTCTAGGTCTGAGCTCTGGTCTTTGCCCAGGAAAGGCCCTGGCTCCCTCTATTTGGCTCTTTAAGTCTCCTCTCAGTATCCCAAGCTTGGTGACATAACCACCTATCACTTTCTCTCAAGTTTTATGGGTGGGTTGACTCAAGACACAGAACTGAGGGTCATCGGTTAGGCTCATAGATATGACCTTTACTATATTTGTAATATTAAGATATGAGATTTTCCCCCCAAGTCTTTGGGGGGGGGACTTTCTTTCAAAGTCTCTTTCAAAGGGGAGGTATCTTAAGATACATTGAGAACTGATCTATTCAACTCTTTGATAGATTTATGGGCTCATAAATGTAGTTATTCTTAACTACAGTAAAGCTAGAAACCCATCCATGTCTATCCATCCTGTGAAACTCTCATCGTATCCTCCCATGAGTTCACCCTAAGAGGTCCACTTAACATGTTGAGGGCTTTCCTCTTATTCTCTTGACTTCACAATGATTCCAATGGAGCATTTCTGCTGTACACTGATTATAACTTGCTCTTGTTAAGTGATGTTCCCCATCATCTTTTTCTTTATTATACATTTCTTTGATGACCTTTATTACATTATTTCTCTTATGTAATTGTTGTTTATAATGTGTTAAAGATCACTCACATCCACCATGCACTTCTCTATTGCCTTTTACATGATGTCCAAATGAAAATTTTTAGAGATTGCAGTGTTCTATAACTTGGAGCCATACAATAGTTCTAGAAGAATCTTGGTATTAAAAAGGTCATTGATCCAGGGAAAAAGTTGAGGTCATTAACAAGCGCATCTCTATAGTTAACAAGGCTGGGCCTCAGACAGTTGATGTAGACTATTATTTCAAATGTAGTCAAAACCATTCCAACAAAGTAGAATATGTCAGAACTTGTGCTTTAAAGACCTTTGGGAATCCAGGATCACCTGTATATCACAACAAGACTTTTGAATAGTATTGTGTGGAGGTGAATAAAAACATGATAAAATTAATGAAATGCAACCAAGTCTGTTCTTTTCTTCCTATTCTATTCTGCACTCAGTCTATTGTCCACTTGCTTGGTCTAAGAGGTATGTACTTATGGATCAGCTCTTTTGATTGTCCATACAAGTGTATATCTTAATCAGGACAATAGGTATTCTTCATCCATTTGTTTTTTCCTGAGTATATTGACCAAATTCTTTTGAATAATTACAGCCCTCATTTAGAATCCATAATTCTAAATTCTATGACAAAAATAAAAAGTCAAGTAGTACTAAAATTTTTCAATTCTTCATTGTAGGAAATGACAATGTCAAAATCTCACGCCCCCCGCCCCTTAACTTTGATGATGTAGAAGATTCCTACTTTAGGTTAAATTCAGTATGAAAAACAAATTCCCAATGAAACAAAACTTATAAAGGATATTAATTATTAACATACAAAATGTGAATCTCACTATGGGTTTCACTGTAGGGTCAATCAACCAAGAAATGCTTATTAAGTACCTACTACATTCTAGGAATATGAGGCATTGGGAACACAGAGATAAAACAATCAAACCATCCCTATTCTTAAGCTAGCTACATTCTGTGGGAGAAACTATTTGTGTAAGTATATTCAGAATAATTACAAGGCATAGTTACAGAAAGGAACACTAGCAGTTGGGGTGACTAGGAAATGCTTCATGTAAAAGGTGGTGCCTATGATGCATCCTGAAAGAAGAGAGGGAGAGATTCCCTGATGTGAAGGTGGGGAAGGATTGCAGTTTAGGCACGAGGTATGCCTAATGCAAAGCACAGAAAGGGGAGGTGGAGTACCATGTCTGAAGAAGAAATACATGTTCAATTTGGCTAAAGTCTAGCTTATAGAATTCAGAAAGGAGAGAAGTATATAAAGAGGCTAGAAAGGTAGAAAAGGGCCATATCATAAAAGGTTTAAAAACCAGGGCAGCTAGGTAGTGTAGTGGATAGAGCACCAGCCCTGGAGTCAGGAAGACTTGATTTCAAATCCATGCTCAGATGCATAAAACTCATGTGACTCTGGGCAAGTCAATTAACCCCAAAGGGTTTAAAAACCAACTGAGAGATTTATGTTTTATCCTATGGGAGATAAGAATCCATTGGATTCTTATGGTCAGATTTGTGCTTCAGGGAAATGACTTTGGCATCTGTATGTAGGGTGGATTGGAATGAGGAAGAGGGAAGCAGAGAGACTAATTAGGAGGTCATTGCCATGATCTAGGTGGGTAGATTTTTGGAAAAAGATAATGGATTTTGTTTTGAACATGTTGAGTTGGAGATGTCTCTCTAGCATCCAGTTTACAAGATGACATAGGAACAAAGCTCAGGAGAGACTGGGATGTGATACCTATCTATCTATCTTTCTATCTATCTATCTGTCTGTCTATCTATCTATCTATCTATCTATCATCTATCTATCTATCCATCTATCCATACACACATGTATATGTGATACGTATATGTATATATGTATATATGTATATATATGTATATATAGATATAAATACAAATAAAAATATATATTTGTGAATCATCTGCATAATTACGATAATTAAACCCATGGTTGCTGATGAACCCTGAGAAAGAGTATAGAAAAGGAAGAGAAGAGGGCCAGGACAGAACCTAGGAGAACATCCACAGTTTGGGGACATGATATGTAGAATAAGTCAGTGAAGCAGACAGAGAAAAAGTGGTGAGACAGGTAGGAACAACACCAGAAGACAGCATTGTCATGAAAAGTTGAGTGTCAAATATCCATGATTAACAGTGTCAAATAAGGCAGAAAGCTCAAGAAAGGTAAGGTCTGAGAAAGAACATCAGATTTTTCAATGAAGAGAAAATAGATCACTTTGAAGAAAGCAATTTCAGTTGAATGATGTGGTTGGAAGCCAGATTGCAAAGGGCTGAGAAGTGAACTAGGGAAAGATAAGTGAAGGCTATGTAGATCAATAAGTTTTTTCTGGGAGTCTGAGAGAGAAAAAGAATATGATAGCTTGAGTTTATATTAGAGTCTAGTGAAAGTTTTTTTTTAATGATGTGGAAGACTTGGGCATATTTGAAGGCAATAATGAAAGAAAAAAGTATATGAGACATACTGAAGATTAGAGAAACGGGGGATGATTGAGGGGTCCATCAATTAGAGAAGATGGGAAGGGATGGGATCAAGGGCTTGTACAGAGGTGTTGACTTTTTTTCAAGAGAAAAGCTACCTCATCAAAGATTGGAGGAAGAGAGCAGAGATTGGAAGATGAGATTGATAGGGTTTTGAGATGAAGAAAAGAGGAGAGGAGAGAGCAAATGATTTCAATTTTCTCAGTAAGGTAAGAGGATATTCTTTTGAGAGTAGGGGGACAGATTTAGGAACTTTCAGGAGAGAAGTGTTGGAATAGCTTCTGTGTGGAATGAGATAAGAAAGAATAGGAAAGAATAAGAAGAAAGGAGCCCAATTGAGGTTAGATGCCATAAACTTAGAGAGTCTCCAGTCATCCTAGGTGTGTGACTGCCTCCAACTCTATTCAGCAGCCCATAAGTAAGAGAGGAAGAGACAGATACGAGAGTAATGTGGTATTGCATTTTGGCAAGGGATGAGTGGTGAGAGGATGGAGGTGGGGTAGGGTGAGGAATTCAAGAATAGAGGACAGTGTACAGTTGAACTGGTTAACAAGATTGGGAAAGGAAGAAAGTTAAGTCAGAGCAGGAATAATGGCCTGAGAAAAGTACTGAGGGATAGAGAGATTGGAGGTCAAAATGAGGATGAATAGTAGATTTAGGAAGGGGGAGGCATAAGGAGGAATGGTATGATAGAAGGCTAGGGTTCCTTAAAAATATTGAACTCATCCTATATATTTTAGAGTTTCTATACTGTAGGCAGACAGGTGGCCTTTAGGGATTTCCATTTACCTTGAAAGCCATTGGTATCTCGATGATGTAAAGATCAATATTATCTATCTGGAGATTGTTGAGTGTCTTCTCCAGAGTTGGTCGCACCAGTTCTGGGCTAAAGAAAGTAGACCACAACTAAAACAGAACAAAGGAAAATTATGAAATAAAGTCATCTGGTATAAAAAATTCCATGTCTCATAGTACCTGGTGGTGTAAAGCTAAAATAAAATTCATCTATCTATCAGAGGGCAAATGGATTTAAAGGATTCACATGGCTCACTGAAGAACAGTCCAACCAAATTTGTCCTTGCCCTGTCCTGGGTGGTGTCAATGTCCCTGTTGCAAAATTGGCAATTTATTGTAAAATACTGGCAAAATTTTCACTTTCCGTATATTGCTGGCAAAAAAAAAGTTGTTTGATTCAATTCAACAAGCTTTTGTCAATTACTACCATGTATAAGAGGTATTGGGGTTTCAAAGATGAAACAAAACAGTCCCTGTCCTCAAAAGGCTTATATTCTTCTGCGAGCTAAATAAGGTATAGATACACAGATAGAATATGTGCAAAGTAATTTAGGCGAAGAAAGCACTAACAACTAGGGGGATCAGGAAGGTCCTTACGTAGTAAATGGCACCTCAGCTATGTATTGAAAAAAGTTTTGATTTCCAAGGGGTGTAAATGACAGGGAGAAGATTTTGGACATGGGAGACACAGAGGTAGGAGATGAGATGTCATGTAGCCTGTAGGAGACAAGCCCAGGCTTTATGAACATAAACAGCTATTTGGCTGATTAAATCTTCATGTTGACCTCAGAGCATGCACAGTTAACACTGGCTAACCATGTGAAGAAATGAACTTTTGATTGACTGCTGACCCAGAAAAAGGTGAGCATTTGAAAGGTACTGACTGACCTTAGCAAACTTCTCTCTCTCTCTTTCTCCTTGGCTACAATTGAGAGAAGATATGCTGTAAATCTTTGGCAGGTGGAAGGGAGGGAGAGACCTGGGGTTTTAATCTAAATTTAAATGTGGGAAAGGGCCTATATTTAACTGTGAATATAGTTCTCTGTCCTTCGCTTCCTTGAATCTTCCTCTTAAGTGAAGATGTATCCAACTAGGCTGCTCCCTTGTGAGGTTTGAAGGGCTGAGAGGTCAAACTGCCAGAGGTCTGTGAGCTGGAGTCCACTACAAAATTTTCAGACAACTGAACCCAGTATGAAGTAAAGTCCTAAGAGACCTGATTAATTAAATAGAGCATTGGATTGAAAGCAGTCAAGAGAATGATGATGACTCTTCCATTGGCTACATTACATTTGGAAGGGAAATCCCTGGGGTGAATGCTATGTAGAAACTGTTTTATATATGAGCCTCCTCTCCTCTAGGTAAAGGTGCTAAAGGAAAGAGTATGTCTCTTGGTGTTAGAGGGAAATGTTTGTACTTCTTTTATCTTTTCAGTAAATATTTCTTTGTAAAATCTAAGTGATGTTAAGTGGCTAAATGATATTTGGACACTAGTCAGCAGCGACTGACATTGGGCAGACCACAATGGAATGGAGGTCTTAGGCTATGGCATTAGAGAAAGACACTCTCTCATGTTGTCTCTCTCCCCCACCTCCCCAGTCCCTGAGGAAGAGATGGAAGCTGGCTTTGGGGGACTCAACTTGTCAGTTCAGGTAAGAGATCCTTAGTCTTCATAAAGGTTTCATAAATGATAAGTGCATTAAGGGAATATCATATGGCCTCCTATGCCATGTATTGATAATGCTAACTTAGAGAGAATAAAGGACCCTTGTAAGGATAAAGTAAATAATCTAGGAAAGAAATCAAGAATAAAAAGATCCCAAAGATATGGAGAGGAATCCAAACCAGTACAAAGCTGTCAAGGTAAAGACAACATGCAGAAAATTTCTATGAGAAATTCTGCATGACTAGAGGTAAACTGTATGTTCAAAGTTTTTTTTCCCATAGATGGAGATTTGGATTTCCTGAAGGAAAAAAGATCTCATGCTTGATCAAAAAAATGAGGACGACTAAAACATTGATACGCTGTTGGAGATTTATGGCAAAATACAGAGGAAGATATCATCATGGTAAGAAGTCTGGAGGCAAAGATAGTGGAGAAGAGAAGTGAACAACCATTTATTAAGCTCCTACTATGTGCCAGACACTGTGCTAAACCCTTTATGAATGTTGTAGCATTTGATCCTCACAACAACCCTGGGAACTAGATGCTATTTTAGTCCCCATTTTATAATTGAGGGAACTGAGGTAGACAGAGGCTAAGTGAGTTGCCCAAGAATTATAGCTAGTAAGTGTCTGAAAGCATATTTGAACTCAGGTCTTCCTGACACCAGGTCCTGTGCTTTATCTACTGTGCCCCCTAGTATCTAGAAAGAGGAGGTAATTGTCAGAGACAACTGGTACAAGTGGCTATCTGCCACACGTGGATTGAAAATTGTGGATTGATAGGTGGGCTATCTTTATGGAAGCTTTATCAAAACTATTTTGGAGAACCTGTCAAAATGCATTAAACCTAGTGATCTCTGCTCACATCTACTAATTCTTTGGAAACAAAAGCTGTAAATCAGAAGAAGCCATGCTCTTGATAGTATCTAGTGATTTTGCTGTCTGGAGTTGAAAATGGAAAGACTTTGGAGCCCAGGTGGTGTTTTCGCACACTCCAGTTGAAGGCCATGTTTTGGTAAGGCATGCAAGATATGTTTATCAGATATGCAAATGTCACAAAGCGGAGAAGGATAATTATTATAGTGGATGACAGAACTCCTATTCAAAAAGATCTCTAGAGGTTGCAGCTCTAACACCAAAGATGAAATTTAACAGGAAATAAATGTAAAACACCATTTTTATTCTAAGTTCAAAAGTCAGAAGCACAAGTACAGAACAGAGGAGATACAATTTGTTTGCTTATTGAACTGGTTTCACTGAAGACATATTAACTAAATCTTGTGACTGGCCACAGACTACTACATGGAAATTCTTTATTTTCCATTTTGTTTTGTTACTGTTGTTGTTGGGGGTTTTCGGGGGCAATTGAGTGTTTGGTCTGAGGCCAGATTTGAACTCAGGTCCTCTTGACTTCAGGGCTGGTGCTCTATGTACTGTGCCACCTAGCTGCCCCTCTGATTGACTCTTAATACTTTTCATAGTAGTAGAATATCCTAAACCACAGGTGTCAGACTTGAGACATGTAGGCCAGTGGGCTTGAACCAGATTAAAATGTAATTGGGAAATGTTTAACAAAATAAATAAAAATACAGTGCAACATAGAAAATGTTAATTTGTGGTTTTCTATAGAATCCATTTCTATTTCAGCATGATACCACTGTTCTAAGCCTCTCTTCTTCCCTCAAATCTCCTAAATCACTTTTCCCCTACCACACAAGCAGATGACTGAGCCTACTACTTGACTTAGGAAAATAAAGGCCATCTATTTTTCTCATCCCTTTTCTCTATTGACATTGTGGGAAAATTATGACTAATTTTTCCATCTCAGTGGGTCTGGCACCTATCTTTCTCCTGGAATTCCTTCTTTGGGTCTGTGATAGCCCAAATAATGGTCTAGATTTCTTGCAACTGTTTAGCGTAGTGCCTTACACAGATTATTTTCAATAACATGTAATTGTTGATAGCAACTATTTCCTAAATTTTTTCAGCCCTGCCCTATCCTATTATTATAAAAGGAAGAGTGACAGAATAAGTTCTCACTTTGCCACAGAAGAAGATGTCTTCTCGTTTCACTTTTCCTTCAGCAATTTTCTCTTGGATTGCTTTTCCCACTTCATGTTCATTATTGTAAAGGAGAGCACAATCAAAATGGCGGTACCCAATATCAATGGCAATCTTCACAGATGGTATGCATAGGTCTCTAATTTCCTGGAATAAAAAGAGAAAAAAAAGTGGACTGGACTTGACTCTAGATTGGTTATTTCTAAGAACATTTCTTTCCTTTTATTGACTAAAATTGCTAATTAATAACTCCATTTCCTCCCTGCTCTTTTCTGCCAATTTATGTTCATTATTGTCTTCAAAAGCTGCTCCAAGCTCCCCTTTAGGGAGTCCCATTTAATCAATGGGACCAGCAGAATGTGGTAGCCCCTTCACACTGCCAAGAAGATGTTTTGGAGCTCCAGAAAAACAGCCATGGTATCATATAATTAATCCACTCTGCAACTGGTCCAAATGGGGTCATGTCCACCAATAAATTAAGGTAAGTATGAATGGTGTCAGGTGGAGCTGTGTGATTACAGGCTAATCATTGAATCTCTCCAAGTTTCAGTTTCCTCTTCTGTACAGGGATAATAAAACCTGTCCTGTCTATTTCACAAAGAAGTTATAAGAATCTGAAGAAGTAACATCTAAAGTGATTTACAAACTTTTAAAAGTCATGTGAGAGCCAAATACTTAATTTATTTACTAATTTTTAGTTTTCAACATTCACTCTTATAAGATTTTGAGTTTTAAATTTTCTCCCCCTCCTTCTCCTTCCCCCTTCCCAAGATGGCATACGATCTGATATAGGCATACATGTACAATCATATTAAACGTATTTCCCCATTAGTCATATTGTATAGAAGAGATAAAACCAAAGGGAAAAACCATGAGAAAGAAAAAAACAAACAAAAAACAAAAAGAGGAAAAATAGTATGCTTCAACCTGCAATCAGACTCCATAGTTTCTTCTCTGGATGTGGACAGCATTTTCCATTATGAGTCTTTTGGAATTGTCTTAGATCATTGCATTGCTGAGAAGAGCTAAGTTTATCAGAGTTGATCATTGCACAATGCTGCTGTTACTGTATACAACATTTTTCCTGATTCTGCTCACTTCACTCAGCATCAGTTCATGCAAGTAAAAGCCAAATATTTTAATAATTATTAGTATTAACATTCTTTAATAATGGATAATAATAGAAGTTCTCAAAATGTCCATCTTAAAAATAGGAAATATGTCCACTGCCACGCCAGGCAGAAGTAGTCAACTTGGAGCTATAGCTTCTAATGTTGAGGAGTTAACCTATACAAAAATCTGATCATCTCACTTTCCTGGCCTCCTGGGAATGATTATTACAGAACATGGGCCTCACTATTCTACTGCTAGTATAAATGTACAAGACTTTGTGCCCCTCAGAGTTTCACTTGATAATGTTTGAGAATCCTTCTTCAATTTGCCCTTCATACGAGGTTGTATATCTCTCTTTGGATTAGAGTCTTGGGCTCTAGTATAAGGGACAATTGACTCATTTAGACCTTGGGTTCCTATGAAAATAGGAATCCCTATGTCAGGGCATACTAATTTCTGTATCTGTGGGTGACAGAAAGGAGTCAGGGGACTATCCTAATGGCCATAGATTTTGCTAACTGGGCTTTTATTTTATATTGACATTATGTGACTTCTACTCAGGAAAGATGGTAATATCCTCTCAATCACTTTCTTATTCCCTTGATCTATCCCCCTTCAATATACTATTAAAATGAAGATTTTTTGACAGTATAGGAAAGATAATCCAGAAGCAATAACAAAAAAAACTTCTAGAGAAGTGAAAAGAAATGAAAACCAATGTCAGGAAGCTGGGGAATGGAAGAATGGATTACAGTGAAGACAGAAAGAAAAAAGAGAAGAAAAGGAAAACTATTGGAGCTAGACAACACTGAACGTTGATTCCAAGTCTTATTTGATCTCTAATATCCACATTTTCCTTGGTGCATGCAGCAAAACACACCCTAGAATTTTCCAAACACTCTACTGAAGGTGGGACACATAACTCTCTTGAGAGAGATATGTGTGAACCAACAGCCGAAATCATTGGCTATTTTCAATACAACTCCTGTGCAAATGTATTCACCTTTTTCAGTGAAACAAAGTTTAAATCAAAGTCAACAAAAATGAGACACCATGATGAATTCATTCTAATCATCAGTAAGTTTGACTGTTTATTTAATATATTATGAAGGAAAAGGGTCAAAATTGAACTATTCCTTCAAAACTGACAGGAGTACAATATGTCAGTTATCATCAGTTAACATTGGCTCATGACACAGATAAATCGTGGTGTTGTGTTGGTTACTGAATTTGAATTCGAAGTGGATAAAAAAGCAAAATAATCTTTGTATGGAAATTGAAAGCATACTATCTACTATATTGTTAATTTTGGTATATACAATACAAGAAACTGTTTTTAAAATTGCTACATTAAAAACTGAAACAATCAGAATGATTATAGATAACTGCTTGAAATTTTCAACAATTACATTTAAATTGCTTAAATTTATTGCCTTTTTTTTTTTTAAAGAGAAATGATGTGTCTTGTGATGGATATATACATAACCAGTTTGAAGAAAAAAGTCTACTGGAACTGCTAAAACTAGTACCAGTAAAGATAGTGGAGACAGTTTAAGTAGCAGAAAGATAGAAACAAAGTAAAAAGTCAAAATATAGAAAATACTATCCATTTTATTTATCATTACGATTCATGAATATTATCATTGACAAGGGGGAAAGACCCTTGTATTTATTTCACATGAATATTTTAGCTACAGTTAGGAATGTGTGCTGGAGTCAGTTTTGAAGGGCTTAAAAGAGCCCATTGTTAAATTTTCAGTGTGAGCATTTACAATTTAGAAATTGGCTACCTCTCCCACCTACTCTCCTTATTCATTAGAGCTCTTCAAAATCTTGTACAGTTCTCTCAATTTCTTTCTCTCTCTCCCTCCTATAGTCTGAGGCTTGAACTAGCAATTTCCTCTCTTACCAATTTGGGAAGAACTACAACTCCCAGGGTGTTTGTGACCAGCCAATGCCTTGCCAGAGGTTGTTAAATTCACAATGTTGTTATTATTATATAAATTGTTCTCTGGGTTCTACACCAGTCCTTTCAAGTATTTCTAGATTTGTCTGAAACTGTCCCTTTGGTAACTTATTATAGAGCTATAATATTTCATCATATTCACGTACCATAACCTGTTCAGTCATTCCCCAAAATGTGGGCAACCCCTCAATTTCCAGTTCTTTGCTATAGTATAAGTTGCTGCTATAAACATTCTTATCCACATGGGACCATTTCTTCTCTCTTTGATCTCCTTGCAGCATAGGATAGTGGTGGTATCACTGAGTCAAGAGTATGCAAAGTTTAGTTCATTTGGGGGGCATAGCTTCAAATCGCCTTCCAGAATGGTTGGACCAACTCACGGCTCCAGGAGTGTTCAGCAATCAACTTTAGGACTGAATGAGAAGCTACCTAATAGCTTTTAATCCAGGAACCTCTAGAAAATCTATTGGTAAAAAGAGGAATCTAATAGTGATTTTTGTGAGCCACCAGTCAAGAGAGTTAAGTGAGGAGTTCTAAGTAGGGTGAAGAAAGGGAAACGGGAAATAGAGTAGAACTAGGAAGAAAAGCTGGGCTTTTGGAGGTAACAGGGAAAAAAGACATAGATTTGGAAGGTCTGAGTTTGAAAGACTGGGCCGTTGCCCAGTACAAATATTTAGAATGAAAAAATCTCTAAGGATCTGCAATAAATTCCTTTATAGCCAATTAGATTTGTTAAAGGTGAGCTAGGCTGACACTGGACAAAACTGTACCCTTACATCTCCTTTCTTCACCTGTCTGTGCCCTTTATTCCCATCACTCACCTTCCTTTACCTTTCAGCTGCCCAGTATCTCTCTGTTTTCTAATGCCACCTCCTCTCCCTCTGTATCAATACTGGAGCAACTCTGGTAACCATCAGATTTGTTGATTGAACAATCCTCCACTAGAGACTACCCTGGTACCTCATTGTGGCGTGGCTGTAACCCTGCAACCATTGCCAATAGAAAATGACTTCTGGTTGGTTCTAGTAAAGCTTTTGAGTGTGGTCATCAGGAAATGCTGTGTCTATGGTCTCTACTAGCTAAGACTGGCCATTAAATTTGACAAGCAGTTATTGTGCTCACTAACGTGCCAGGGGCCCAGGATCCTAGATCCCTCCACCCACCCCCCCAAAATTGTCTTTGCCTTTAAGGAACTCACATCCTCCTAGAGGAAAACTTGATACACACAGATGCAGAAGGGAAAGAGAGGAAGAGGAATTAAGAATTTATTAAGTGCCTCTTGTGTGCCATGTGCTGTGCTAAGCACTTTAGGAATATCTCATTTGACATTCACAACAACTTTGTGGGGTAGATGTTAGTATCCCCATTTTTTTTTAATATTTGAGGAAATTGAAGCAGATAAGAGTTTAAGTGATGTGTCCAGGGTCACACAGCTAGGAAGTGTCTGAGGCTGGATTTTTTATTTTTTATTTTTTGTTTTTAGGTAATTGGGGTTAAGTGACTTGCCCAGGGTCACACAGCTAGTGTCAAGTGTTTGGTCTGAGGCTGGATTTCAACTCAGGTCCTCCTGACTTCAGAGCATGTGCTCTATCCACTGCGCCACCTAGCTGTCCCCCTGAGGCTGGATTTTAACTGGGATCTTCCTGACTCTAGATCCAGGGTTCCCATCTACTATGCCACCCAGCTGCCTATGAAAAAAAGAAAATTTGCATAAATGTAAAGTATATGCAGATGGATTTTTGTTACAGCAACTCATGGAGACAACCTATCAAAGTGTGGCAAAATTTTCATCCATCTTGGCACAGAGAAGACTGCATTGATGAAATAATGAATTTTCTCAAGTACTGACATCTCAGACTAAGTCACACATGCTAAGTGTACGCTCAGCATAGTGCCTGGCACATAGTAATTAATAACTATTTATTGACTATTATTGACATGAGTTTTATGCATGAACTCCTCAAGGCATTTGTACTTGGAACTTAAAAAAACCCTCAAATTATGGAATGAAACTTTCACAGATCACCCAAGTATAGATATAGGACGGCCCTTGGAGATCATTTAGCGC